AACCTTTTATTACAACCTTTACAACAGGTTTTTATAGTAGCTACAACCTTTTATTTTGATTACCTCTGCTGATAAGAGGTTTTTGAGCACAAAACGTATTACTTTCCAAGTGACATCCACATAAAGCTCGTTGGTAGGATCTACACTCGACCATCGTAAGTAATATACTCACGTTGACCCATTCTGCTACTAACAGCGTCAGTTTTACATATGTTATTCAGTCTTGTACACAGTAATTATTAAAGATGTTTTGTATGTAGTGTAGTCTTATTAAAATAGCACTGTTTATAAATATCAAATTAGAAATTAGCATAGCATTTAACCGAATATTGTGTGTCGCAAGTAATAAAAACGGGCAGTTAACTGAAATTATTGGAATTCATATAAACTCGTAGCCTACATCTTATTATTATTGTTGTTTTCAGGCCTCCTGTATGGATATGGAGAACACACTTAGAAAAGATTTTATTAGTGATTGTTACCATCTTGATATTAACTGTAGCTGCCCTTGTGCTTGCTCTTACCATTCCTACCACCAGGAGCTCTTGTGAAACACGTAAGAAAACATAAAAAAAAATTCGAGAATTGTTTTTGAGTTCAAGAAATGGTTGATGTTTGGTTATCTGAATTTCACCTTAAATAACATGTTACAGTAACATTTATAGAATATTTTGTAAGATTTTGCATGAATTCGCTGATATTTTGAAAACTAATTTAGCAAAATTTCACTTCCTAATAACATGCTGAGTATTTTCTATGAATAATTTTTATATTTTTGTTATCCTTGAAACGAAAGTTTTAAGCAAGAGTCAATCACAATGCTCTTCCTTCAGATTTCTATAACTGCAAAGAATTATTGCAAAGTCTGTTTTGTTTTGTCTTTTAAAGCAAGTATTAATGAATACTAATTATGAAACCTGTTCTATTTGGTTTTTAAAGCATGTATTAATGACTGCTTATTATAAAAACTGTTTTATTTTATCTTTTAGAGATTATTGTTTTGTCTTTTAGAACACGTATTAATGACTGCTGATTATAAACCTATGTTTATATTTTACCCTTACGAATCTGTAATAAATTTGCTAGTTATATACAGTATAGGTAAGATATAATAATTCAATAATAATTTTATTCGTACTTGAGATGTCCCAGCTGTTTTTACTTTCTAAACTTGTGCATAATCACGGAAAATATACAGTTCTTTCAAATTTTTGTTTTTGGTTTGGAAGAGCATGACAAAAAGAAAAAAATGATATACACTTTGACTTTCAAGATGATCAGCGACTGACATATTGGCCTGAAACTAAACAAGATTTGGAGTCAACTTTGACCAGTACAAACTTAACAACGATCTCTGACCTGGCATCGACCTTAAAGAAAGAAGATGAAGAAACAGCACCTGAACTGGAATCTAAAGTGACAGGAACAGAACAAACAACAGTATTTGGACTGAAATCCAAATTAATAGGTCCAGATGAAGCAAAAACACTTGAATTGGAATCTCAGGTGACAGTAGCAGAACAAACAACATTTGGACTTGAATCCAAAGTAGTGGGACCAGATGAATGGTCCTACTACTTTGGATTCTAGTCCAAGTGTTTTTGCTTCATCTGGTCCTACTACTTCGGATTCCAGTTCAAGTGCTTTTGCTATGAAGCAAAAACACTTGGACTGGAATCCAAAGTAGTAGGACCAGATGAAGCAAAAACACTTGGACTAGAATCCAAAGTAGTAGGACCATATGAAGCAAAAACACTTGAACTGGAATCCGAAGTAGTAGGACCAGATGAAGCAAAAACACTTGGACTAGAATCCAAAGTAGTAGGACCATATGAAGCAAAAACACTTGAACTGGAATCCGAAGTAGTAGGACCAGATGAAGCAAAAACACTTGGACTAGAATCCGAAGTAGTAGGACTAGATGAAGCAAAAACACTTGGACTAGAATCCGAAGTAGTAGGACCAGATGAAGCAAAAACACTTGGACTAGAATCCAAAGTAGTAGGACCAGATGAAGCAAAAACACTTGGACTAGAATCCAAAGTAGTAGGACCAGATGAAGCAAAAACACTTGATCTAGAATCCAAAGTAAGTATGAGGAAGCTAAACAACATATAAGATGTGAGGTAAAATCCTTTTTGGCTTGATTACGTTCGACTACATTTGTTGTGAAAATTACTTTGTCAGAACCGCTAGAAACAATGTAGATAGAACTATTAAGTTTTTCAATGATCCATTCTCGGTCTCTGCATCCAGTTTTTGACCAAATTCAACTAGTTTCACAGTTTATTCTGTTTTAATTTTTTCGAGGAATATTTTTTATGTGAATGGTTATCAAGGTCCATAAACATTTTGGATTGAAAGATTATTATATTACATTATTTTCAGTGTTATTTTAGGGTTAATGTATTGGCAGACTCGGTGCATCTGCCTTATAATTTACTGTTATTATGCAAGTCTTCTTACCGTAAATGGAAGGACACAAACTAAAAGCATAGAAAATAGTTAGGAAGTGTAGTGCGTTTTTCAAGTAAATAAACCGTTTGGATTATGAGCCTGCTACTAAAGGTTTTATACATGTAATAGTTTATAAATAAACTTTGAACGGAAAAAACAAGTGCCTAGTTTGTTGTTAATTTCTTTTCTCGATTACTCAACGCAGTTTGACCCCCTATAACTAGACATGATTCTACACCAAGTACAGATAAATTGTCTGAACAAAGCGTTGATCTGTTTCGTTAAAGATTATACCAAAAGTACACCATTTTATACAAAACAGGTGTGTTTTGACGAACAAATGCTCAAAAGAACTTATACAGACCAGAATAACAACTCGTACATGTTTGTCCGATCATACACTACCTTCTCATTTACTCAGTAACTACTCCAAGCATGTAGACAATAACATCATTATAGAACAGTATGTAAACATCTTGACCAACACTGTATAACATGTCTTGTGGTTGTTTTTTATTTCTCAAACATAGAAGATGTATACATTTTGCATTGACGATCAGTACCCCTAACATTAGGAACATAATTTGTTGTTAATACTTGGATTTAAGAAAAACGATTACAGAGAATCAACACTATCGTTTTGTTTCTCCTATAATACTAATATGATTGTTGAAACATAGGTTAGTTATCATATTAGTGTTATAGGAGAAACAAAACGTGTTGAAACATAGGTTAATGATCATATTAGTGTTATAGGAGAAACAAAACGTGTTGAAACATAGGTTAATGAATCATATTAGTATTATAGGAGAAACAAAACGTGTTGAAACATAGGTTAATGATCATATTAGTATTATAGGAGAAACAAAACGTGTTGAAACATAGGTTAATGATCATATTAGTATTATAGGAGAAACAAAACGTGTTGAAACATAGGTTAATGATCATATTAGTATTGTTACGACAGTGGGGTGGGGGGGCGGTCACGTGACAAGTATTCTAGAAGATTCGCTAGTGCGTTAGGACAGCGGGGTCATGTGACGAATATTCTAGAAGATTCGCTAGTGTGTTGCAACAGCGTTGCGTCAACTGACTCTGGTAGCACGTGTTGAGAGTCTTAGAAGTTTCTAGAACAGGCAGTATTATCGTATATAAGTGCGCTAGACAGTGAGAGAGAGAGACGGAGTTGAAGCAGTAGCGGAGACAGAGACGAAGCAGGCAGAGAGAAAGAAAGACAGCGATTACGGTCGGCGGGAACCGAGGATAGCAGACACAGAGATCGGAACTATAGTTGGCGGGGACGGACAATTAAATCTAAGCGCGATAGAAAGTGAGTGAATTGTTGTGAACTATAGTGTGTGTAACTGTGAAAATTAAGTGCATTACAAAGTTGTATTGAGGAAGAATAAACAAGTTTTATAAAGAAAGGACTTGTATCGTAGAAGAATTAACAAACAAACATACAGAGACGTAACAGTATTATAAGAGAAACAAAACGTGTTGAAACATACGTTAATGATCATATTAGTGTTATAAGAGAAACAAAACGTGTTGAAACATAGGTTAATTATCATACTAGTATTATAGAGAAACAAAACATTTTGAAACATAGGTTAATGATCATATTAGTATTATAAGAGAAACAAAACATTTTGAAACACAGGTTAATGATCATATTAGTATTATAAGAGAAACAAAACGTTTTGAAACATAGGTTAATGAGAAACAAAACATTTTGAAACATAGGTTAATGATGATATTAGTATTATAGGAGAAACAAAACATTTTGAAACATAGGTTAATGATCATATTAGTATTATAGGAGAAACAAAACATTTTGAAACATAGGTTAATGATCATATTAGTATTATAGGAGAAACAAAACATTTTGAAACATAGGTTAATGATCATATTAGTATTATAGGAGAAACAAAACATTTTGAAACATAGGTTAATGCTCATATTAGTATTATAGAAGAAACAAAACGTTTTGAAACATAGGTTGATTAAATCAGGCGTAGGTACAGTTGGTTAGGTAAGATATTTTTTATTTAGATTTGTTTATTAAACCCTCTTGATGTTTTAGACAAATTAGTTCCGATAATCGTCAATTACTGAAGCTGGGATTACAACACTGTGTAAGCTCATAAGAGAACCATTGTGTTGTTTGGTTGAAAACAATAATATTACATCAAACTGCTGTTAAAATTCGTGACGATTTATTCGGTTTAAATTTCATATCACGGGTGGTTTGTGTAAAACCTTCTTCTGGTTTAGATTTTGGTTGACATTAACTGATTTTATTTGGGTTTAAAACCAATTACATTAGCTTGATTTATAAATATTTCACTCTCTTCGCGTATATTTCTTCATACAATTTGTTATAATTTCTCTAGCATGTGCTAAATCTATTGGAAATAATGTTTCTGTTTGTTTTATTTCGGCGCACAGCTACCAAATTTGCTATCTTCGCTGTGGCCAACACTGAGATTGAACCTCGATTTGTAGCGTTATAACCCTTCACTTCTACGACCTGAGCCTCCGACGAATAAAGGATTTTGTAGAACTTAATTCTTTGGTACTAACTTTTATAACCTTTCGTATCAGTCCCCCGGTGGGACAGCATTAAATCTACAGATTTACAAAATTAAATCCGGGGTTCGATTTTTCTCGGTGGATACAGCAGATAGCCCAATGTAGCTTTGCTCTAAGACAAACAAATAAACTTTTCGTTTCATGTCAAATGATTTTTTCTTTCAATTGATGTTTAATTATCAATAAATCCATTACGATTTCCCGAATATTTATTAATCATTAATCTTTTTACATAAGGCATCTACAGCACTTAAGGTAAAAATATCTGTAACATTAACTTTTTTAGCTCTGATAACCAGTAATATTTGTGAAATCTGTTAACTTAGGAAACGTTTTGAACAAAACCTTTTCTTATTTTGCCTTTAGTATACGATTATTTTGTTCATGTAGAAATCTAAGAGACATCAACATCTTTAGTTGAAACTTTTGTCCTATTTGTCATTTCTGTTGGTAAGGTAGTTTCTGTAGCATTTGTCAGTTCTGTTGTTATGAAAGTTTCTGTAAAATTAGCTTCTTCAGTTGAAACTTCTGTAGCATTTGTCAGTTCTGTTGTTATGAAAGTTTCTGTGAAATTAGTGTCTTCAGTTGAAACTTCTGTAGCATTTGTCAGTTCTGTTGTTATGAAAGTTTTCTGTAAAAGTTAGCTTCTTCAG